ACGTTGGATCAGAAAGATAGACCAGTATAATTATGATATTGAATAAAGAGAAGGAAAATCTCATGGAAATGCTGATGGACTGAGCCGAAGACCCTGCAAAAATGACTGCAGACATTGCTGCAAAAAAGAGGTTGAACTAACCAGTTGCCATCAAGCTGAAGTCAAAGTGACTGAAGGAGTTGATGATGGTGAAGTGGAACCAAATATAGATATTAAAGCAGAGCAAGAGAAAGACCAAGATTTGAAGCCATTAATTGATTTTCTAAAAGTAAGTGTTTTGTGCTCTGCTTGGGAAAAGGTGTCAAGTCTAAGCCTGTGACAAAGAACTATTGGGCACAATGGGACCAGTTGAAGCTAGAAGATGGTATTCTTCTCCAGAGATGGGAAACTGCAGATGGGAAAGTGACGACCTGGCAAACAGCTATACCAAGAAAGTTACAGGAAGTTGTGCTGCGTCAATCTCATGATTTAATAATAATCTCGTACTCTCGTTATGGTATCAAGTAATATACAAGTCCCAAAAATAATACTTCTAAATAAATCTAAACAATAAATGAGTATTTTTATTTTTAACTTGGATTTCATGTATGTATATAAAAATCATTTTAATTTTGTTTCAAATGTATTTTTATTTCAAGTTTATGTTTCATTGCAGCCATACTTTTGTTTATTGTGCTGAATAAATCGTGAGGTTAGCAGCGTGAACTTTGTACATTTGCCATAAACTATCATGCCCGTTAGTGGTCACTCTCGTTCAGTCCAGCGCAGGCGCATTTAAACATTACTGTAGATATGATAGTAAGAAAGCTTTTCAGGACTTGAATATCATTTCTTTGAACTTTCAAACAGGTTTATTTCAATATATGTCTTTGTATGTTGTTTCACCATACAGACAAAACTAATTGTCACTACTTGCTATTGTGTGTAATAGTTTACAGTACAGGTGGTTTCAGTAAACACCACCTGACCCTAGTTACTTGATACATCCTGTTAGAAGAGATTACCAAACGATACAGACACCATAAATTACAAAAATAAATTACTTTACAGCACTTAAAAGATTAGTCCTGGTCACGTTCCGCTCATTATAGGCAAGACTTATGTTCAAATTCGAAACTTAAGCTCTTTAGTGTATTGAGACACCTACTGTGATAATGTCATAGCTTCCCATATATTATTGAGACAGATGTATTTAGTCTATTTCACAACCAACATATGGGTTTTATTGTTGTCACTTGTACACCGAGTTTTAAACCATTTACAAAATATCAGAATAAACTTTATATACACTGAGTGGTCAAAAGTAAATAGACACCTAATTTTTCATCATTTAACTGATTTATGCTAACTAATTTGTGTTCACAGAGCACTATATAAATGAAAATTGTCCACACACTAATTATCTTGTGCCTAGAACTCAAGGTTCTCTCAAATTGTCAGAGGAAGGATAGTTGGT